TCCTGGGTGTCATGGCTTTCCCCCCAAGACCCCTTCACCTGTCTCACCAACTGGGCCCAGCACACATGCCCACCCCTAAGTCCATCTCCCTTAAACCCTCAGCCCCATTAGGCTTTGTCCATCTCCTGCCTGTCTATGCCCTCACTATTCTCTCTGACTTGAGACTGGCACCATTCCCAATAACCTCTGCCACCGTCCTGAAGGAGGAACAGATTTGAGTAGGCCTAGTGATTGGCTCACACCCATTTTACAGACGAGGAGATTGAAACCTAACAAAGCCCTTTCCTCTCTCTAGTCCCTGGTCACCTCCTCACCTGGAGGATCTTTGAACGTCCGTTCCCACTCTAAAGCTAGGGTCCTGTGATCTCCTGACTTTGAATTTCTAGCCCCCCTGTCTTCTGTCTTATCTAGGCTTTCTCCCCATCCCTCCCCCAGCCCCTAACCCTAACCCACTAGGCTCTGCATACCCAGGGTCACAAGAAACATTGAATTACACGCAACCTGACCTCGCCTGGATTCCCAGGGTGTCCCCTTCTGCAGACCTCTGACTGAGCTAGACCTCAGCCCTCCCCCTGCCCAACTCACCCCACTTCCGAGGGCTTGGCACCGCCCCCGATGAAGCCGTATCGGTCAGCCCTGCGGTAGGGTCCTGGGCCATTGAGCTCTGAGTCTGAGCCGAGGGAGCTGGAGTCATCCTGGATATCAGGGGCCTGGGCCAGGTCCTCCCCCAGGGAGGCAGCCATGGATGGCCTGCCCCTCTCCTGCAAAGAATCAGAAGCCAGCATCCCAGTGGGCCTGTGATTCAGGGACACCAGGAGGACGCTGGCAGCCCCTAGCCCCCTGCCCCTCAGGCCGGGTTCAGCCCAGCTGTGCCCATCCCCTTCATCACCCCCAGGCCCAACCCTGGGCTCCCCCTTACCCAAGTTACACCTGCCTCACCTCAGACAGTCGCTGCTTTGCTCAGCCCCTCACCTCACCTCTGGGGCGCTGGCGCTCTCTCACTTCCTCCCCAGAATCATTTCCTCCTTAGCCCCAGATGGAGCTGGGTAGCCCCTGGGGTGGGGGTGGGGGGCCCATTCCACCCCTCGCTACTTCCTGCCCTGGCCCAGCCTCTTGCCCCCCCCACCTGCCTTTGCCTCCTGCCACCCACGGATGGCTGGGCTCTCCCCTCCCCATCACCCTGATATCCAGAGGGCTGTCCCCCATCTTGTCTAAACTGCTTCTGCATCACTTGGGAGAGGCAGGATCTCTCCTCACTCCTCACTTAAGGCAGTACTAGGTTTGCAGTCAGAGGCACCCCCCCCACTCCCTGTGACTCAGTTTCTCCCTCTGCAGTTCTAAACTGACAACCTCATGCCTCGGCCCCTCGAGCCCAGCCTAGACCACAGCTGGGCTTCCTCGGACTTTCAGTTCCCACGTGGGGGCCCACAGCCAGGCTAGGCCCCCCGGGGTGGGGTCGGGGGCGGCAGCAGGGAGGGTCCCACTGTCCAGGGTCCTGAAGAGCCTGAGGAATGGAGGGCCTGCCATGATGGAGGGAGGACTTGTTCTGGGGGCTCAGGTGGAGGCCGCGCATCCTTTGGGGTGTCCCCTCCTGGGAGGTGCCTCGCCCGGGCCTCTCTTCCTTCCAGCTCCACTTCCCTTGACCTCCCACCCCTCCGCCGGGGTCGTCGTCGTCATCATCATCACCACAGCGAACGTTTGTGTAGCGCTTTAAAGTTTGTAAAGAGCACTGACAGCTCTATTTTACAGATGGGGAAACGGAAGCAGGCAGAAATGGAGAAAGGTGCCAGGGGTCGGGCGCAGCTGGGAAGGGTCTGCAGGCGTATTCGAACCCGCAACTTATGATCGAAGTGCAGCGCCGTGGGAAAAGCGCCACCTGGCTGCCCATTTCCCTCTTCTTTCTCTGCCTCCCTTAAGCCCCGCCCCCCCTTCCGCCGCAGGCCGCGCCCACTCCTCCTCCACCACCCTCCTGTTCGCTCTTCATTTCCTGGTCCTGCCCCTTTTCTCGGTTTCCTTTCCGGCTCTGGCTGTAGCCCCTCCCTATCCCTCCTCCTATCGGGGCAGTCTCTTGGTCCGTCGGTCCCGCCCCTCTCCTCCTCCTATCCGGGCCGTCGGCTCGCTCGCCGGTCCCACCCCTCGTCTCCTCCTCCTCCAATAGGGGCCGCCCTCTGGCTCGCTGGTCCCGCCCCCTCCCTCCGTCGTCGCCGGGGCTGCTTCCCTCCCGGCCGGCGGGCGGCGCTGTGGCGCGCGGCTCGGGGCGGGGCCTGGGCGGGGGCTGAGGCCGCGGGCAGAGGGCGGAGGGCGCGGCGCGGCGGCGGCGGCGGCGGCGGCGTGAGCGGGCGGCGGGACAGGCGGCGGCGGGCACGGGCCGGAAGGACGTAGCCGGGGCCCTCGGGGCGGCGCCGCCATGTCCGACAGCGAGAAGCTCAACCTGGACTCCATCATCGGGCGGCTGCTGGAAGGTACCGGGCGGGGACCGGAGGCCCGGGCGGGGGCGGGGGGAGGGGGGCGGCCGGAAGCGAGGCCGGGGTCCCGCCGGAAGTGGCCGCCCGGGACGGAGCGGGCCGGGCGGAAGTGCCGCGGGGGCTGGGGGGGGGGGACCCGGGCGGGCTCTGAGGCCGGTGTCCAGTGCAGGGCTCCCGACCCGGCAAGAACGTGCAGCTGACGGAGAACGAGATCCGCGGCCTGTGCCTCAAGTCCCGGGAGATCTTCCTGAGCCAGCCCATCCTCCTGGAGCTCGAGGCGCCCCTCAAGATCTGCGGTGAGGCCCCCCCCCCCCCCCCCCCGCGCCTTCCAGCCCGCATTCATTAGGCACCCGTGTGTGCCGGGGGCAGTGCTTCGGGGCTGAGCCTGAACCCAGGCCCAGTCGGGCCGTCGTTGGTGCTGCCTGAGTGCTTATTGGAGGGAGTTCCCTGGTCCGGAGGGGACGTGGGGGGAAGGAGAGGATGGCCTTTACAAAGACCCGGAGGTGGGAGATCAGTTCTGGGGCACTAGGGAGCCACGGGAAGGTCTTGAGCAGTGCAGTTCCGGGGTGTGATTCGGTGCACATCTCTGCTGGGCTTTGCGTCCCCCTCCGCAGTGGGGCAGGACACGGCTGGTGATTGGCTGTAGAGCGAGGTAGGCACCCTTGCCACGCCCTAGGAGCCCCAGAGAGCGGCCTTGGGTAGGGGGCAGGGTGGATGGGGCCGGAGTCACCCCGGCGCTCTTTCCCGAGCAGCCCTTCCCAATCCAGGCCCTTCGTGGGTCCCTGGCCGCCCAGTCACGGGACTCCTGTCTCCCAGCGCAGGTGACATCCACGGCCAGTACTACGACCTGCTCAGATTGTTTGAGTACGGGGGCTTTCCCCCTGAGAGCAACTACCTCTTCTTGGGGGACTATGTGGACCGGGGCAAACAGTCCTTGGAGACCATCTGCCTTCTGCTGGCCTACAAGATCAAGTACCCCGAGAACTTCTTCCTCCTCCGAGGCAACCACGAGTGTGCCAGCATCAACCGCATCTACGGCTTCTACGACGAGTGTGAGTGGGGGGACCCCATCGGGGATCTGGGCCCCACCCCTTAAGCCCCTCCTTTCAATGCAGTACCCCTCCTCCTCAAGGCTGAGTAGGGAGCAGAACCCCGGGGCCCACAAGCAGCCTGCCCTCCCCTACCCCCACAGGTAAGAGACGCTACAACATAAAGCTCTGGAAAACCTTCACGGACTGCTTCAACTGCCTGCCCATCGCGGCCATAGTAGATGAGAAAATTTTCTGCTGTCATGGAGGTGAGGCTTGGGGGAAGGGGGTGGCTGTGACCCTGGGTCTGCCTGCTCAGGTCCTCTAGAGGGTGGGAGGGGCTCAAGCCTTAGGACCTGAAGTGGGAGATTCCACAACCACTGGTGACTCCAGCCTGGGCACTGCCCAGCTTGGACCACTGGGCGGGTCAGGGCTGAGGGGCTTAGAGGAGGCTGCCTTCCCCAGGACTGTCCCCAGACCTCCAGTCCATGGAGCAGATCCGACGCATCATGAGGCCCACAGACGTACCGGACCAAGGGCTGCTGTGTGACCTCCTGTGGTCAGACCCCGACAAAGACGTGCAAGGCTGGGGGGAGAACGACCGTGGCGTCTCATTTACCTTTGGAGCCGAGGTGGTGGCCAAGTTCCTTCACAAGCATGACCTGGACCTCATCTGCCGAGCACACCAGGTCAGAGATTGGGGCTGGGGGCAGGGCGGCCTGGCCTGGCCCGGCCCAGAGGGAGGGGTGCTGACTAAGCTGTGCTTTGGCCCAGGTGGTAGAAGATGGCTATGAGTTCTTTGCTAAGCGGCAGCTGGTGACCCTCTTCTCTGCCCCTAACTACTGTGGCGAGTTTGACAACGCAGGTGCCATGATGAGTGTGGATGAAACCCTCATGTGCTCTTTCCAGGTGGGTGAGCCCAGGGCTGGAAGGGAGGGGAACTTTTCCAGAACTCCCGGTGGCCCCTCTGACCAGCCCCATCCTCTCTGCAGATCCTTAAACCAGCCGACAAGAACAAAAGCAAATATGGGCAGTTCAGTGGCCTGAATCCTGGCGGCCGCCCTATCACCCCACCCCGCAACTCTGCCAAGGCCAAGAAGTAGCCATTCCAGGCGTGACTGATTGTACAGAAATCCTGGTTCCTCTTGGGGTCTCCGATGCCCAGGAGGGCCTCTAGTTGCAGGGAACACCAAACCTTGGTGTAATTTTCTTTTATAAAACAAAATCAAATAGAGTCTAATCCCCTCTAGCCCTGACCCGTCTCCCCCCACCCCCACCCTCTGAGCTGGATCCTGGGTGGGGCAACTGGGAGGGAAGAGGGAGGCCCCTTGGAGCAGGGAAGAAAGCTTGAGTCCTGCCTGGGCTCAGCTGCCCTATGCCTCGGGTCAGGAGGTTATGGGGACACCAGGCTCTGTGCCCTTTTTTGGTCTTTTTTGAATAAATGTCAAAGCTGGATTCTCACTGGCCTAGCAGCCTGCCTTTGGTCTAGGAATGAATGACATGTGCATGCTTCAGGACTTGGGAGTCTTTATTGTGGGAGGAGGTGCTGCCTGGGCTGGCCGTCCCCTCTGGGCCCAAGCTCTTCTCCATCTCCATCAGGACGGCCACAAGCATCGTTCAGGCCTTTCCCAGCACAAACCAGGCAGGCAGGGGAGCAGTCGCCCCACTTTCCTCCTGAGAAGGTGACACAGCCGCTGGTGTCCCCGGGGAGCAGGAGTCAGCCCTCCCCATCACTGTCTTCTGCTAGTACTGGGTTGGGCTCACAGGGAGGTTCTGTCGGGGCCAATACTGAGCCAAAGAACAGGGACCGGAACTAGGACCAGAAAAAGAAGCAGTATTGAGAACAGGCCATGCATCAAGCTGTGCCACAAGCACCAGAGCAGAAGCACCCACCTCCCCATGCCCCATGGGGAAAAGACAAGGGACCATTCGTTCACCTTTTTTAGGGGAGGGGTCCCAGGCACCACACTGGGCTCTGCCTCCTCTTCTTCAGACAAAGGGGAAGGGGTGCAGGGGGCCACCGCTGCCCCTTCACACACAGTAGTTTCCATGGCGATCATGTAAGAGTCAATGTCGTCATTGGCAAAGTCGTCCAGGTGCATTGTGCTGAGGAAGGCAGGCCCAGAGCTGAGGATGGGGTGTTTGGCCAGCTCTCCAGCCAAGGGGAGGGCGGGCTAAAAGGCACCCCACCCCCTGGTGTCACCAGGCTTTAACTGAACTTGGGAAGAGGATGTAGAAGAGGACAGGTCCTGGAGGCAGGAGGCTGGACTAGGGCTATGCCACAGAGAACCATCCTGTGTCCCATGGGCCGTGGCTGGAAGGCCTCACTCTGGACAGTGGCTAAGGCCTTCGGGAAGGCCGGTCTTACCACCACTAAGGAAAGGGGATGCCGAGGACAGCCTCCCTCACCTGTGAGCCCCCTGCCCAGGTCGAGAAGGCTCCTGAGAGCAGAGGTCAGGCTCAGAGAGGGTGGCCAGTACAAAGTGGCCATCCAGTAGCGAATCCTCAATGGTGAAGATGGCCGGCCTGGTGGGGAGGGATGAGAACACCACTTGGCAAGAGCCTCCTGCTCTTGCCCCTCTCCCACAATCTCTCCCTGACCTCTGGGAGTCCCCACCCAGGGTCCCCTGAGCAGGACCCAGTACCCGCCTGTCTGACAGGCAGACGGGGAAAAATCCAAACTACCTGCCAGGAACATCGAAGTGGATGTTGAGGGGCAGGTTAGCAGACTCCGCAAAGCTCAGGAGACCCTGGAAGAAGAGATCCGGAGGTCAGATCAGGGCTGCTGCAGGGAAGCACCAGGGGTCAGGCGGGTTGAGGGGCTGGGGCCTCACCCGGAACTCCTTGAGGCAGAAAGTGATGGACGCTCCCTCCTGGGCCTCCAGCTGCTGGAACTCCTCCTCGTTGAGGCTCATCTCTGTCATCATGGCCTTGGTAGCATCTCCAGGGAGGAAACGAGGCCTCTATCCCAGTCCCCCCAACCCACCGAAGGACCCCAACGATGCTCCCAGGGAGAAGCCCTCTTCCCCTGCCCCTCCTCCCTGGCTCACCTGTGTCCTCCTCCAGGTAACTTCGGAAGACAACCCTGCGGCCCGGGCTCACACCCAGCGTCACCTCTGAGAGCGCTGGGGAGAAGGGTGCCACGGCCTCCACCAACACCCTGTCCGGAGGCACAAGGGGCCAAGGCCACTCAGCCCCGGAGCCCAAATAGCACTGGTGGGTCAGAGGTCTGAAAGACTGCCCACATACGAATGGGACAGCAGTAATGGGCATCCGGAAGCAAATCCAGCCGGCCCATTTTACAGATGGGCTGACCCCCACCACATGTCTGTAACCCTGCCCCCCCCCCCCCCCCCCCCCCCCGCTCACCGGGCAGGGGCACGGAGCAGGTTCGGGCACTGGGCCGGGTCGAAGATGGCCTGGAGGGACTCGCACTCCTGGAAAGACAGGTTGTGGGTCTTGGTCACACCTGCGGGGCGGCACGTAGTGAGCGGGAGGGGGGACGGGGGTCACGGCGACCCGGCCCCGCCCCGCCCCGCACCGACCGTGCTTGCAGTGCAGCTGGATGACCAGGCGGCTGCTTTCCGGGCTCAGGGCGATGCAGCAGCGCTCCACCGTCTTCTCCAGGGCCACCGGCGAGCGGAACACGGACAGGAAGGACTGGCGGGGGGTGGGGGGGCACGGCACGGCCATCAGCGCGGCGCGTCCCCGCCACCCCCCGCACCCTCCTCCCCCGGCCCGCCTCGAGCCCCTACCTTCATGAGGACCTTGCAGCGCGGCGGCTGCGCCTGCGGGGGCCGCGCAGCCTGGTAGTGCTGGAAGAAGAGCGGGGCGAAGAGGAAGCACGCGAAGGCCGAGCGCGACGCGTTCACCGTGCGCAGCGAGAGCTGGGGGAGGTCAGGGGTCAGCGGTCGGCGCGCCCAGCCCCCCACCCCCCTCGCCCGTGCGCCCCCTCACCCCGTTCTCCAGCGGCTCCAGGTACAGCTCGTCTCCGATGCGCGACAGCGAGTGCGCGGCCTTACCCAGCACTGCGGGAGGAACAGGGGTCAGAGGGCAGAGGCCGTGTACTCCAACCCGCCCCCGACCCTCGCCCTGCACTCACCCCGCACGTTTCCCCCCGTCACGAGGCACTTCATGTCGCCGGGCCCAGCCTCCCCCCGCCTCCCGCCCTCGGCCGGCCCGGTCTCTGCCCCCTGGGCCAGCTCCTTTCCCGCGCACTGGGCCTTGGTGCCGGCCCCGGCCCGCCTCGCCCTCTCATTGGACCGTGCGCCGCCGGCGCAGGCACCTCCATCACGTGGGCGAGAAGCCAACCTATCGTCGCCGTGGCCTGCATCACGTGACAGCAGCCCAGCGCCCCTCCTGTCACGTGACAAAACAGCCGTGCCTTCACACCACGACCTCGTCACGTGACCTCAGCCGCCGGGCTCGGGGTGACGTTGCAATGCCCCTCCTGTTTGGGGGTGTGGTCTCCGGAGAGCCCCTAAAAGGTGCATGCGCAGATGCCTCCGTTCTCTCTGGAGCTTTGAGTCTCCTCTGTAAGACGCCGGAATGTTCCCTAAGTGCCCATCGTGCAGATTCAGAAACTGAGGCTCCAGAGTGTTAAGAGACCTACCCTGAAGCCCTAGGAAATGCTGTGATCGGAGTTCTCGTGCCCTTCGAAGTTGTTTTTCTCAAAAATGTTATCCGTATTATCTTATTATAAATTGTTCTCCTTTAGGGCAGGGGCTGTTTTTTCTTCCCTGCACCCTCAAACTCAGCATAGCGACTACCATGCAGTAGGTGCTTAATAAATGCTTGTGGAAAGAATGAGGGAATGAACGAATAAATGCTCACCCTCAAGGAAAGGTTGCTTTTTTTAAAAATAATGACATTTGTAGACAATAGGACAGAGACATCAGTAAATCACATTTCTTTCTCCCCAGCAAGTGACTCCCAGTTCCCGGGGGGGCGGGGCTCAGTGCAATCAGGGACAGGTGGGGAGGGGGCGGGAGCCCCTCTGGAGTCAGCCACCCCTGGGCGTTTGACTGACTTTGTCCAGTTGGAGTTCTGCAGCTCAGGAGTGACAGTGACCACGGAGGAGCATGAGGGTGACCCCGAGGGCACAGACAAGGGGCGGAGAATCCTCCCTCAGCCATCTGCTCACCTGGGGGGGAAGAAGGGAGGAAGGTAGAGCCAGAGCAGGGAGGGAGGGAGGTTGAGGGAAGGACCTTCCAGAGCAATGATCCCCTTGGGTTCAAGTTGGGTTGAGTCAGTAAGCACTCATGAGCCCCTCTTAGTCGGGTCTTGTGCAGAGGGATGCAAAGAAAGGCCCCAAACAACCCATTCTGCTCTGGAGAAGTACTCCAGCAGGGAGGGAACATTCACCCAAGGAATATGCAGCATAAATTGGAGAGGAGGCTCAGGAGGGGGAGGGAAGCCTTCTTGAAGAAGTTGGGACTTTATCGGACTCCTCAGGGAAGCCAGGAGGCAGAGATGAGGTGGCAGACACTGGACAGCCAGAGAAAATGGCAGGAGCCCAGAGGTGGAGGGTCTTGTTGGTGGAACGGCTAGGAGGCTGGGGGGAGGGGGTCAGGGAGTGAGGTGTAGGGAGAATGGAAAGGGAGGAGGGGCTGGTGATGAAGGGCTAGGAATGCCAGAGAATTTCGTATTTAATCCTGGAAACCATAGGGAACCGATGGGGTTTTCTGAGTAGCAGTGACAAGGTCAGACCTGAGCTTTTGAATGACCTGCTTGAGAACCAAGTAGGCTAGATTAGAGTGCTTGATGAATGTGGTGCGCCTTCTTCCCACTCCTCCCCCAGAACTCTCCATCTCCTGTCTCTGTGGCTTTCTACTGGCTGTACCCCAGGCCTGGAGCACACTCTTTCCTCACCTCCACTCTTAGACTCTAGTTTCCTTCAAGGCTTAGCTCACCTTCTGCATTGGGCATCTTCCCTGATCCCCCCATCTTTTAATGTCTAACCCCCTCCCTACATTATTGTAGTCCCTATTTTAAGGGTGTGCCCTGCTTAGACTTCAGCAAAGTCAGATACAATGGAAGGTAACCCTCAGTCCCTTTCCCTTATACTTGAAGCATTCCACACCTGAGAAAGGATGCTGAGGCCTCAGTAAATCAACTGAATGTGAAAAAGCCACAGAGACAATGAACTTGCCCCTGGGGCACAGACTTCTGGTCCCAACTCTTTATTTTGTATAAGACCCAACAGGAACTTTGGGAAGTGTAACTGGCCTCGGTGTGAACCAAGCTCTGAACCAGGAAGAAGTGTTGCATAGCACCTCTCCCCAGTCTGGGAGATGACAAACCTCACAGCAGAAGCCTTGAGGCTTCTCTCAGTCTCCAGATAAAGGTCTCTATCCTGTCTGAAAGAGCCCAGTACCACTCAGCCAAGCTTCAGCTGGAGACAGTGGAGGCTAGGGCTGCCCATGGTGGAGTCCACCAGACTGGCACTACGCTGGGCACTATCCTGCCCAGCCCTGCCTGGCAGCAGATGGACCCCTCCGGTGGAGGCACCACACCCTTCGCTGAAATGCCCTGTCCTACAGGGATCCTGCCCATCATTGTGCCCACTCCTGAACAGTTAGGTAGGCCCTTCCATTCTGGAGTTGTGAGTTGCCTTAGCCACATGTGTTCCTACACACACACGTATCTGGGCAAGTCACTTAACCTCGATTGCCTCACTAAAAAAAGAAAAAGAAAATCAAACAAGAGATAGAGAGGTTTACGGGAAAGAAAATGGATAATTTGACTGCATAAATTAAAAAGGTTTTGAAACATAATCAAAAATATTTGCAGCAAATTTCTCTGATAAAGGTTCCATCTCTAAGATATATAGAGAACTGAGCCAAATTAAAACGAATCATTTTCAAACTGATGAATAGTCAGTGAATAGAGCACCGGCTTTGGAATCAGGAAGACTCACCTTCCTAGGTTCAAATCTGGCCTTAGACATGTAACAGCTGTGTGACCTTGGGCAAATCACTTAACCTGTTTGCCTCAGTTTCTTCATCTCTAAAATGATCTGGAGAAAGAAATGGCAAACCACTCTGGTATCTCTGCCAGAAAGAAAACCCCCAAAGGGGTCAGGAAGAGTGGGATACAACTGAACAACAACAAAGGATGTGAAGAGGTTGTTTTCAGAAAAAGAAATCCAAGCTATCGAGAGCCATTTAAAATAATGCTCTCAATCAGAAATAATTAGAGAAATGCAAATTATAAATTAAAACAGCTCTGAGATACCACCTCGCACTCACGAGCTTGGCTAAGCTGACAAAAAAAGGGAAATGACAAATGCTGGTAAAAAGCAGGTAATTAAACATGTACTACTGGTGTGGTGAACTACACCAATCAATCTGGAAAGCAATTTGGAACTCTATAACACTGTGCCTACTTTTTGACCTAGCCATACTGAGATTAAAGGGATCAAAGAAAGAGGGAAAAGACCCACATGTACAAGAAAATTTCTAGCAGCTCTGTGGTGGCAAAGAACTGGAAATTGAGGGCATGCCCATCAGTTGGGGAATGGCTGAGCAAGTTGTGGTATATGATTGTGGTGGGATATTATTGTGCTTGGAGCGCTGTCTAGCGTCAGCCCCAGCAAATCAGGAGCAGGCCATGGGAGTGACTGAATCAGCAGCATCGGCTGCTCCTGGAGCTATCAGCGCACAGACGGAATATTTGAAAGTCACCTATTTCCACTTCCAGGAGCCAAGATGGCAGAGTAAACAGTAAGTCGCTCCCTTATTGACCTTGAAAAACCCAGAGAATAGTGCCCCAGGAAAAATCTTGGCATAGGGGAGGCAGCAGAAAGACTGAGATACAGCAGTCTTTTAGCTCAGGAGGCTAGGGGGATTAACGGGAAAGGTCCCTCTTGCTGTGGTTAAAGGGCTCTAGTATGTGATGGGAGGTGTCCCGGCAAGCCAGTGACAAGCCCCATTTCAGCAAACCAGCAGGAGATCTTGAGCCCCAGGGTGGTGGAGCAGGCACACGGCAGCCATCACCACTAGCTCCAGCTCAGCACCAGGTAAACTACCAGATGCCTACAGCCTCCAGCTGTCAGCACCTGAGGCCCCAGCACACAAAGCCAATAACCCAAGAAGCCTGGGTCAGTGCCCTTGTGTCCCAGAAGCAGAGACCAACTTTAAAAGCCAGAAAAAAGGCAAACAACATGAGCAAAAAGAAACACAGAAAAACAATGACCACAGAGAAGTCTCTTGGTGACAAGAAAGATTAAAACACAAATTCGGGGGAGCACAACACTCAATATACCCACATCTGAAACCTCAGAGGGGAATATAAACTGGCCTTAGCCCAAAAAGCCTTCTTGGAAGAGCTCAAGAAGGATTTTTTTAAAGAGGTTTTTTTTTAAATATAAATTTATTTATTTGTAGTTTTCAACATTCATTTTTGAGTTCCAAATTTTCACCCCGTCTCCCCCCTCCCGCCACCCCCAACATGGCATGCATTCTGAATATCCCTTCCCCTAGTCTCTCCTCTTTTCTTTCTCTCCCCCCTTCTCTTATCCCCTTCCCCTTCTATTTTCCTGTAGGGCAGGATAGATCAAGAAGGATTTTAAAAGTCAAATTAGAGAGGTAGAAGGAAAATTGAACAATTCCTTTAAAAATACAATTGACAAAATGGAAAAGGAAGTACAAAAACTAACTGAAGAAAACAATTCTTTAAAAATTAGAACTGGGCAAGAAATGATGAAGGGAATGGATTCAGACAAACTTGGGAAGACTTGCATGAACTGATGCAGAGACAAGGGAACAGATCGAGGAGAGTACTTCTACAGTAACAACAATATTATGGAGATAATCAACTTTGAAAGACTTTAAGAACTCTGATCAACACAATGACCGACTAGAATTCCAGAGGACTCAAGAGGAAACATGCTATCCACACCAGATAGCGAGCTGATGCACTCTGAGTGAAGATTAAAACATATTTTCTTCCCTTCCTTTCTTCCTTTCTTTCTTTTGTTGGAACATGACTGTTGAGGGAATTTATTTTATATGACTTCATATGTGCAATGGGTTTTGTTTTTCTAGCCTTTTCAAATGGGTGGGGGAGGGGGAAGAGAGATAATTCAAAACTGAAAATAAAATAAAATTTAATTAGAAAAAAATACACTTGTAACTTAAAAAAAAATAGTCACCCACTGAATTATTCCTACAACCAAAAGTAGCAGCCACTGCCTCTGGAGAACTAGCCTGTCATGTGAGTGCCAGTTGGGGTAGTGAGCCAAGATGGGGAGTTATACGTA